TTTTAGAGGAATCGCTTTGAGTTTCTCTCCATTTAGTTTGATGTTAGCTGTTAGTTTGGTGTATATTGGCTTTTATCATGTTTAGATATGTTCCTGTTATTCCTGTTCTCTCCAAGATCTTTATCATGAAGTGATGCTGGATTTTGTCAAAGGCTTTTTCAGCATCTAGTGAGATGATCATGTGTGTTTTCTTTTTTCAGTTTGTTAATATGGTGGATTACATTGATGGATTTTCATATGTTGAACCATCCTTGCATCCCTGGATGAAGCCTACTTCATCATAGTGGATGATTTTTCTGATGTGTTCTTGGATTCGATTCGACAATATTTTGTTGAGTATTTTTGCATTGATGTTTATGAGGGATATTGGTCTCTGGTTCTCTTTTTTAGTTGTATCTTTGTGTGGCCTGGGTAGCAAAGTGATTGTAGCCTTGTAAAAAGAGTTTGGCAATGTCCCTTCTGCTCCTATTGTGTTGAACAATTTGAGGAGTACTGGTATTATCTCTTGTTTGAATTTCTGGTAGAAGTTTGCGGTGAAGCCATCTGGCCCTGGGCTTTTTTTGGTTGTGAGGCTTTTGATGACTGCTTCTATTTCATTAGGGGTTATAAGTCGATTTAAACTTGCTTATCTGTTCTTGGTTTAATTTTGGTAAGTGATATTTATCCAGAAAATTGTCCATTTCTTTTAGGTTTTTGAATTTTGTGGAGTATCGGTTTTCAAAGTAAGAACTGATACTTCTCTGGATTTCCTCAGTGTCCGTTGTTATATCCTCCTTTTCGTTTCTGATTTTGTTAATTAGCATGCTCTCTCTCTGCCTTTTGGTTAGTTTGGATAGTGGTTTGTCTATCTTGATGATCTTCTCAAAGAACCAACTCTTTGTTTCATTGATTCTTTGTACTGTTTTCCTAGTTTCTACTTTGTTGATTTCAGCCCTCAGTTTGATTACTTCCTGGCATCTACTCCTCCATGGTGAGTTTGCTTCTATTTGCTCTAAAGCTTTCAGTTGTTCTGTCAATTCTCTAGTGTGACTATTCTCCAGTTTCTTCATGTAGGCACTTAGTGCTGTGAACTTTCCTCTTAGCACTGCTTTCAGAGTGCCCCATAAGTTTGAGTATGTTGTGTCTACATTCTCATTAAATTCTAGGAAGTATTTAATTTCTTTTTTATTTCTTCCTCAACCCAGAATGGTACAATTCAATTTCCATGAGTTTGTAGGTTTTCTGCAATTTGTATTGCTGTTGAATTCTGACTTTAAAGCATGTCTTTGAAGTTGAGGTGTGGTTCTTGTATGTAGCAGAAGGATGGATTCTGTCTTTGTATCCATTCTGTTAGCCTGTATCTTTTTATGGGCAGGTTAAGACCATTTACATTGAGGGATATTAATGCCCATTGATTGTTGATTCTTGTTTGTTTTGGATTTATTGTTGATGGTGTCATTGTGTGTGGATTTCACCCTACTATTTCTTTTCATGTTTGGTAAAATTGGATTATCTATTGCCTATGTTTTGTGCCTATCTTCATTGGGTTGGAGTTTTCCTTCCAGAACTTTCTGTAGTGGTGGATTTGTGGATATGTATTGTTTAAGTCTGGTTTTGTCATGGAATATCTTGCTTTCTCCATATATAGTGATTGAAAGTTTTGCTGGGTACAGTAGTCTGGGTTGGCATCCATGTTCCCTTAGTGTTTGTAGGATACCTATCCAGGACCTTCTGGCTTTCAAAGTTTCCATTTAGAAGTCGGATGTGATTCTGAAATGTCTGCTTTTATATGTTACTTGGTCTTTTTCCTTTGCTGCTCTTAATATTTTCTCTTTATTCTTTAGGTTTGGTGTTTTGATTATTATGTGTCCAGGAGACTTCTTTTTGTGGTCCAGTCTGTTTGGTGTTCTGTAAGCTTCTTGTACTTCCATAGGCATATCCTTCAGGAAGAAGTGAGCACAGGTTGATGGGGGAGTTTAAGGGACAGACGCACCTGAGGCTCCGGCACCCACCGCAGACAGAGGGTGCAGTGTGGACAGGGGTAAGGTGTGTCCAGACTCAGGGTGGGCCTTCTGGTCTGGGCAGGTCCACTCTTGTCCAGGTGGGCTCAGGAAGAATTGAGCAGGGGTTAATGGGGGAGTTTTGGGGGGCAGAGCAGCGCCCAGACTCACCTAAGGCTCAGGTGCCTGACACAGTACAGAGCAGGACTAATTATTATTATAAAACATTTAATGCTGGCCTTTTAGTTATATTATTATTATTCTTTTTCATGTGTGGGTATTTTGCCTATTTGTAAGCCTATGCACCAAGTGTATATGTGTCTGTTGCCCTCAGAAGCCAGATGAGGGCTATGAATTCCATAGGCTTACAAGTGGTTGTGATCTACCTTGTAGCTGTTGGGAATTGAACTGTCTCTCCTGTCCCAAATGCTAGCCTTTCATGAAATCCATCCATATTGCCAACTCTCCACCAAATGTTTCTGTTGGTGCATCAAACTCAGTGCTTCACCTCTATCTAGTGTTTTTATCTCATTCTATGTACTCAGTGCTTCACCCTGGTCTGGTTTTGTTGTTGTTGTTTGTTTTTTATGTGGAACGCTTCACAAATTTATGTATCATACTTGCGCAGGAGCCACACTAATCTTCTCTGTATCATTCCAATTTTAGTATATGTGTTGCCGAAGCAAGCACTGGCCTGTGGCTTTCTTGGTTTTTTGTTTGTTTGTTTGTTTTGTTTTTTGGTTTGGTTTGGTTTGGTTTGGTTTTGGTTTTTCGAGACAGGGTTTCTCTGTGTAGCTTTGGAGCCTATCCTGGTACTCGCTCTGGTGACCAGGCTGGCCTCGAACTCAGATCTGCCTGACTCTGCCTCCCGAGTGCTGGGATTAAAGGCATGCGCCACCAGCGTCCGGCTAGCCTGTGTTTTTAATCTCATCCTACATGTTCCATTTCCATAAATGTTAATACCCATCCCATCGCTCAAATGGAATTCTGAGTATCATCACTGCACACTTAAGTCCACCTACCTTTATTTGGAACCTGGCTGTTTCTCTCCAGTGGCTGGCTTTCCCACTGCAGTCAGCAAGATTTCAGAAGCTGGAATTTAGTCATGTCTCTTCTCTTCTTAAAGAACATCAGCACCTTCCCAGTGTATGCAAAATAAATCCCAATTGTCCCAATACATAAAATCCTTTATAGTCTGTATTTCCAGCTTCTTCCTTTTACCTCTGTCCCCCCTCCGTAACTACATTGTGCCCCATTCATACTGACCTCCTACAGCCTCCTAATATATTGCCCTTTCTTACCTCCTGGCCAGTACACATGGATTTGATTGTCTGTTACGCACTTCCTTCCTGCCTTTGTCTGTCCAACTTCTATTTGACTTTCATATAACAGCTTACAAGCCTACTTCCTCTATTGAGTCAGCTCTAATACCCTGGCTTTCCTTCCACATGTATTCCCTTAGCACATAAACATGTCAGCACTTTTACTACCTACACTTAATCCTGGTTGCTTTCCAGTGCTTCCATTCGTTTATAAGGACTAACTTAATCTGGTCTTTTGTCTCACTAGCACTTCACAGAGTGAAGAGCATAACATATTCCCATCTCAGTATCTGTTAAACAAATGAACTTTGTAATTCCCCCAATGTTATTCTAGGATAGGCACTTAAAAGTAAGTACCACCAAGAAATTTTGCTCATTACTTTGTAAGTTTGAATTTATTCAAGTAATATTTTAAAATAAGCTTCTTAGGGATAATTTTTATTTAAAGGGTGGGGCTTTAGAACATACTCTTTTTCCTGGTTGTAGTATCCCAAATGTACTTAACTATTTGAAATGTACTATTTGAAAATGTAATTATTGGATTCTCATTAACTCTGATGTGAAATTGAGTGGCTAACAACTTTGGGAAATCAGTCTGAAAATCTGACATTTAAAGTGGAGACTGAAAGATGAGAAGAAATGAACTATACCAACAAATGCAGCAGATATTGCATGTTGGGGGAACAACAAGAGGAAGGGCCTGTGGGAAAGAAGGATGAGAACAGGATGCAGTAAGCTCCAGAGCAAAGGCTTACATCAGCATAACAAGATGCAATAAGACTTAGCACAAACCATCGTATCAAGGCTGGAAGCAGCAACCTAGTAAGAAGAAAAGAGTCCCAAGAAGAGGCAAAAGAGAGATATCCCCACTTCCATTATTAGGAGTCCCTTAGAAACCCTAAGCTAAACAACCACAACATATATGCAAAGTACCTGGCACAGACTCATCCAATCTCCATGGTTGCCCTTCAGTCTCTGTGAGCCCCTATGAGCCCCACTTAGTTAATTCTGTGAACCCTGTCTTCTGGTGTCCTCACTCCCTCTGGCTTCTACAATCTACCCGCCTCCTTCCACCAGTTCCCTGAACTCCACCTAATTTTGGGCCGAAGATCTCTACATTTGCTCCAATCAGCTACTGAAAGAAGCCTTTCTGATGATGATTGGGCTAGGCATTCAGCTACGAGTATAGCAGAATATCATTAGGAATCATTTCATTGAGGTTTTTTTCCCCCCTTTGTTGTTTAGCCAGTCTTTGGTTCTACCACAGATCTGAGGATCATCCACTTCTAGTTCCTGGCCATCCAGACAGTGTTGTCATGGGTTCCTTCTTATGGCATGGGCCTCAAGTTAGACCAGTCATTGATTAGCCACTCCCATGAGCTCTGAACCCCCATTGCCCCAGCATATCTTGTAGGCAGGACAGATTCTTTATTTGGTGTAAATACTCTTTAAGTACTATAATGTCATATAGAAACAGAAAATGTCCCTCAGTACACCTCTGTAGACTATTCTTAAATCACCCCTGAGAGGTAAGTTTTCTTTTTTCTGAAGTTTCCAGACAAGAGATTATATAGCTTTATTTGGAAAGCATTTCAATTGTAATACCACTGTGGAACTTTATTTAATGTTTACACTTAAGTCACCTATAATACAGGGAACTCTCAGTTCTATTGTCTAATAAGAAATTTTCCTGTAAATAGTACAGAGTCAGAATATCCTTTAGGACTCTTTTGTATTAAAGGTAATGAAATACCTGGCAGAGAGATGAGCTACAAATAACAGGTAGGCTCTAGGAACTCCTTTGGATAGAGGCAGTCAAATTGTATTGTTCTTCATCCTTATAATACCTCCTAAAATTTCACTAGACAGACAACACTTTCACATCTTATATAGAAAGGAGACTATGTTTATAAATAAATTAAATATTTACCCGAAAGCCTTTTCAGATAAATGTTTGTTGAACAAATACCATTTTATGACTGCAAAGTTTCCTATAAAAAATTAGCCATAGGGCTAGAGAGATGTCTCAGCAGTTTTAGCCGTTGCTGTTCTTCTAGAGTATCCACATTGAGAAGCTCAAAACTACCTGTAACTCCAGTTCTAAGATATCCAATGCCCTTTTCTGGCCTCCTCCAGCAACTGTACATATCACATACACATACACGAATACACATAATAAATAAAAATAAATTTTAAAAAAGACATCCATGAATTAGCAAGTTCATAGTGATTCCCTGTGTAAAACATGATGTTAAATATTTTGAAAACTAATAATAATTCCTTTTTTAAAGTTCCCATTTTACTTGGAAAAGGTGTGTGTGTGTGTGTGTGTGTGTGTGTGTGTGTCTACCACTAATAAGCATTAGTAAATCCTTTTACATGTGTATCCTAAAGATGTGAAGTAGGGAAAGAGCTATCTGAATTAAAATAAACTAAGAAGCAGAAAAGTGAGAAAAGGGTGGGGTCTTAAAGAATGGGTGATTCCTTAATGAAAAAACAAATCTAAAAAGAAGGAACATAAGCATGGATCTAAAGGTGATACAAATGTGTGTTTGTGAGACACTCAAAACCCAGACTTTAATTGGAAAGATAACTAACAAGATTTCAGAGTTCTGAAAGCCATTCTCAAGAACATGGACTATATATATTTAGTTCAAAAGCACAGAGATACTGATGGCTACTATTCAAGTAAGAAAAATATTTAGGGTGGTGTTCAGCAAGAAATATGCTAGGTATGTGTGGTAAGTGGGAGGGAACAATGCCACAGTACTTTCATATGCCCCGTGCTTAGTGCTAAGTGTGTATTTCTTCAGTTGAAGTTGCTCATTAGAATAAATCTTAAGATTAAATGTGAAGAAGTTGAATTGTGATTGTAGTGCAGAGGGAGAGAAAAACAGATGCAGGGGACACTCCAAAGGAAGACTTTTTTAGGGGAGAAAGGGATGTTGCATTTAAGACAAAGTAAGGAATAGGAGATGGCTTTAAGATTTTTAGCCTAGGTAATTAGGGCAAAGATAGTAATGAAAAATTGACTTCTGTAGATGAGTTATAGGTTTGTAGGACAATTTAAAATTTTCAGTAATAGGCATGCTTAGTTCCACAACTTTAAGGGAAGAAGTCAGAAATAAGGATTTAACTTGTTAGGTTTCCAAAGTATATAAAAGTCCTGATACACCCATTCATATTCATTCATATTCATGCATCCATTTCTTTACCCCCTTATCCCCCTGCCTCCTACTCATCTTCCTCTATCTCTTTCCCCCCTCTCATATTTAACATGGATTTAGTGTTTGCCTGCTATGTTGTACTGTGGGGCATGGATTAACAGCACCAACTTCAGAGGTGCTTAGTGGATGGAGACATACCCTAGCAGTAAAGCACATATTTGGCATTCTTGAGGTCTTGGAGTAATTCTCCAGAACCACAAATAAGTCTATTAAAAGTACTAATTTTGAATTAAAGATTAAAGTTTTTGAAACCTGACAAGGAGCTTTGTGATTCTACCCAATTTTAAACCTTATTTTCAGTTTTCCCATATATAAAATTAGACCTCACCATGTTGTCTTGACAACTCAAATAAGTTCATTTCTGAATGTACTTGAACTACGTGGCAGATGGGAAGCATTGTGTGTTTGGTAGAATTATAACCACTATCATCATTATCTTTTTTTTTTCAAGACTTGTTTTCTCTGTGGCTTTGAAGACCAGGCTGACCTCGAACTCACAGAAATCTGCCTGCCTCTGGCTGTCAAGTGCTGGGATTAAAGGCATGTGCCACCACCGCCTAGCTTCATCATTCATTTTTTGCTGAATGCTAGGTTATATACATATGAAGTGGCTTGAAATCAAATGGAGTATGACAGAACTTGATATGCAGAGATAAATACTTAAAAAGACAAATAATTTAGTAAAAAAATAATATTTATACTTAATTACTTGTATCTTTGTGATTGTTAGTTTTGTGAAAAATTATTACTGTCTATTCAGATAATTGTCTTAAGTAAATGAATAGTTGTCAAATTATACAGTGGGTAGTTTTCTCGTTTTCTGTAAAATGAATATTGACTAACTATAAATGTTACTGTTTCATATTAACCTCAGTTATACTGGTTATTTTTCATCAATACTAATATGCATAATTTTTGCCTTGAATTATATTTGGCCTAGAAGGCTGACTCCTTTGGTCACTTTGATTTTTCTCTCTTGTTTTGTTTTTCTTGTGTTGGAGATTTTAAGATGCATTCGATGCTGTAAGTACAGTGTTCTCTACCTGTTGTCACCACCAAAATAAAGATTAAACATTTGAGTTTGTCAGTGACAAAATCAGTGATAACACTTCAGACACCTCCTTGAGAAGCTGAGCTTATA